AAAAAAAAAAAAAAAAAAAAAGCTCTTATAATTAATTGTTGTGAAAAATGAGTGATACATAAAAGTTGAGGTAAATGAGTGATTTTCAGGAGAATATATCAGAAGAGTTGATCAGCAGCATCCCATGCACGGCAGGCAGCACTAAATACATACCTCTGCCTGCAGCTGTAGTTATTAGGTGTGTGGAAAAAATTGGAAAGCAGAGCAGCCGATTATGGTCACACACGAGCGATGATGAGGTTGATGAAGTTGAGTCCCCCTTGACTTCAATTATTCCGGATAGCCACTATCCCACATCGGCTTTAGCCAGAATCAACTTGATGCCTAAGGAAAAGATCATGCGCTATCAGCTGCTCCGGGAGATATGGAGAGATGATGATGATGATGATGATGAAGATTAGCTAACATCTTTTATGTTTTCTATATATAGGACACCGGACCATTTAAACTCTAATTAATTAAGGGGTATGGAAATTTGAAGTTAAAACTCTTATTAATTAAGGGGTATGGAAATTTCAAGTCAAATGATATTTACGGATTCAGGAGGTTTAGGATGGGTTTCCAGTACTATTTGGTAATCTCGATTTTATAGGTCTATTTCAATACACTAGTAAGGTAAGGTGCACGTGCTCCGACGTGAACCATATAATTTGTTTAATTGAATTTGAATATGTCATTAAGTTGATTTGGCAAAATTATACATTATATGATATACATTTTAAGTTAAAGATAAGTGTGTACACACAAACACACACATATATATACAATTATTCTTATGTGAAAAATGGTTAAGATCATCATCCCTATAAATACTTATTGAATGCGTTGGGCTTAAGTGACAGACTCTCACGCTTCAGAATTTTATATGACAAAAAATCATGCTTGCAGTCAGACTTGAATATAAATTAGCCTTATTATTAATATTAAATTCATACTTGATCTCTTCCTTAATTTCTTCTACAATTAGTAAGAATAAACTATTTTACGTTTCATTTTACTACATTTCCTTTTCTTATTTGATTGATACATCAATATTATAAATGTTTCTTCTTCTTATTCTTAAAATTTATAACTTTTTTTGTTTATATTTTAACTATCATATATGATATATCAAATTAATTATCTTTTAACAATCTTTGATTTGATATTCATATTATATATAAAATACAAAACATTGATATACATCTTTATAAATAAAATTTAAATTTATTTATCAATCTAAATTAAAAAATATCAAATAAAACCATAAACTATCTTAGAAAGTAATAGAAATTTATGAGTATTAACATACCATAAAATAGTCATTTTATTTGAAAAAAATAGGTAAACTTTTTCAAACAAATATATAAATTATTCATTAACTCACATAATCTAGACCAGTGATTTTGTAAAAAAAAATAAAATTGAATTACCTAAAAAAATCCTTAGTTTGACATATTTTTAATGGTAAATTAGTAATACATTAATACTCATCATATCATATATTTGTAATTAATAACTATTTTTTGGCTAAAAAAAATTATTTTGACATATTTTTAATAGCAAATTAATAAAACACTAATAACCATCCCATCTTATATTTTTAATTAATAACTAATATTTAATTAATTAAATAAAAATACACGAAAAAAATATTCAACATCTTTTAAAAATCAACCACACTATTCTTATATCATTAATTCTTACCAATGTGCTTTCTTCCACATATAAGTAGTATTTAATTAATAAATACAAATACACAAACAAAACATTTCACATCTCCAAAAAGTCAACCACAATATTCTCCCACCATTATTCCTCATAGATTTTTTTTTCTCTTTTTTCACATCTCTCAGACTGTTTTGTTCCATATCTCTAAAAAATCAATCCAACATCAATCATTATTTTTTTATGAAAAATTAGTAATACACTAATATCCATCCTATCTTATATTTTTAATATATAACTAATATTTAATTAATAAAATACAAATACACAAACAAAACATTCCATATCCTAAAAATCAACCACAATATTCTTGCACCATTTTCTTTCACATATTTCCCAAACTGCTTTTTTCCCTATCTCCCAACATCAACCCAAACAACAAAGCTTGAAGGATATAGAATTGTTGTTTTGAAAAACTCCCTTATTTAATATAATTTTAATGGTAAAATCGTACTCACATTTAATAATTCAAATATGTAAAACTTCTTGAAAGAACAATGATACAAAAAAAAAAAAATAATAATAAATAGTTATAAAGAATCTATATAGTTACAACCATTTATTTATTTATCTAAAATTTTAACAAAACGATAAATCTTGGTAAAAAAAAAAATGACAACTTAATTGAGGGGTAACTTGCATATAATAAATAATTTCAAAGATACATACTTAATTAAGAGAAGATACTTAAAATTTTACCAAAATCTAAAAACTAGAAAAGGACATTTCCCAATTTATAGGATCATTTGACATGTAGATTTTACCAACTTTTGCCAACTATATTTTGCATGACCAAACTGGCAAGGCCATTTCCCAATTTATATGAGCATTAGACATGTGGATTTGATCACTTTTGTTTTTTAAATATATATTTGTTTTAAATAATAATAAAATAAAAGCAACATGGTCGTTCCCTGTCAAAGCTCCCTTTGGTCCATTTATAGAGACATGCTAAGATCACTGGCAGCCATATATTCTCCTCAACTAACGCCAGTTTCTCAATTGTCACCATTTACCCTTTGGTATTCTTATTTTCTCTCCAAGTGCTTAGCAATTGTTACATTGGCACAAAATATACAGGATAAATTGTGAGAGATGAGTTTTCTTGTCACCTTCATCTGCTGGAGGCTCCCTATTAAGATTTTGAAATCAGGGATTAGCCTTTTCAATTTGGTATCTTCATCAATACTTTCATTAAACCACTATGATTTGTTTCTCGGCAGCGCATTCTTCATTTTATCTTTTATGTGGTTTCCAATGAATGCTCA